GTCCACATTGGGACGGGACTTGAAAGCAACTTGTATACATTGAGAAAACCTGTAAATAATAGAACAAAAATGTTGCTTTACTAAAGAAATAGCGAGAGGCAAAATGACACAGGTTAGGGATTTGGTGACGAATAAGATGTAGAGGAAATTAAGCTATTAGCTTCTTTAAATATAAAAACAGATGCGTTTCCTAATATTTGAGTACATTCCTTGTAGTGTGGCTCACAGACATTCGCTCTCTGATGCGGAAACCCTCCCCTTTGTTTGTTCTGGGACCCCATTTTGTGGAAGAAAGAATAGATTAACTCCTCCCCCCCCCCCACCCCCAAGCATGTCCTAAAAGGCGACTCATTAAGGATTTTTCCGCGTCAAAGTCAGAATGCATCTGCCTGAAAGGTGAAGAACCAACAGTTGCCATACAAATAAACCATATCTATAAAACGGATTTCCACCCAAAACTTAAGTTCTGGAACTAGACCAAAGTCCAGAAGTGGACAAACATTTAGAACTTTCTCCTGGAAATTCACAGTCGGTGAACGCCACGAAGAAGCCGCAGATGCAGATCGCGATGTGAACTCATTCGCATTGTAATTTCATTTGTCACACTCATGCATGGGTTTTTTCTCTTAGCACCATATTTTAATTTTTCTGTCATCACTTACAAAAATGTTTGTATGCAGAATGAACTCAAACGACTTTTGTGTTATTTCTTTTCTGTTATATTTTTGCGAGTAACTGGAACCTTCTTCTTGTTACTCCACGAAATGCGATTTGTTTGGCTTTCCCTGACATTTTTAATGTTGAGACATTCTCATATCTGAAGCTTTCTGATTTCGGCTGAATTCTATTCGTTAGGTTTAGAAAATGTATTAAAATTACTTAAACCCATGTGCTCGATGGGTGATGTCAGTATCACGATTGCCGCCTTTGCTCCCCAGAAAATTACCTGCTGTCTAGTTTAGGCTGAGTCGACGTGGGAGCCAAGGACAGTTTTGAAAAATAAAAGTCTGCCTTCATGTAGTTTTGAAGCCCTAGAGCTTTGGACTGGCAGGGGAGCTATAAGTAAAGGACTTTTCTCATCTACATGGTGGCACTGTGTCTCATCAGGTGTTCATCGCTTGTGAAAGTACTACTACTACACACCTAATTGAACACATAGGGCTAGACCTATATTTTTTACACCAATTGGGCACTTGATGGGTTATGTGGTCAGCAGCATCCCGGCTATCTTTACTTCCCAGGATTGCACATGGGACCCATTCAAGGTTGGGTCCACCAGGGAGCTAATTGTGGGAGTTGCTGTGGTGTGAAGCCTAGCCACGGATCGATCAGTGACTTCTACATCTTAATCCCCATCTTTTTTTTTTTGCCTTCCAAAGTGCCTTTAGCCATGTGATTTCTAGACTGTCCTCTGCGCACCACTTCTTTCCTTTGGTCTTGGCGAATGTTTCCCTGTTCTTTGCTCGCTATTACATTACTCTCTTTGTTCTTACTCTCCAGCTCTATTGTTTCTTTCTCTCTTTATTCTCTCATATTTTTTCTAGCTCTTTCTCCCGGTTTTCTCCTATCCTTCTTGCTGCCTCCCCGTCTATGTTTCTCCCTACTCACGCATCCCCTCTCCCTTGTGTGTGTATTTAATTATTTCATACGGTCTGTTGATGCTGAAAAACACTCAAAGCAAACAACAGATTGCCGACAAAAATTAAAACAATGAAATCATAGTAACATTCATATTGTTAACCATATTCCGCCTTTCGCATTTCGAAATTGATTTTCTTTTTTTTTTCCTTCGTCCGCTGTGAATTGTATTCGTTACTTCATTGTTAACAAGTCATTTCTATCTTTCCTTTTATTGTGATTATTATTTATTTTTGTTACAACTAATGATGTCCCATTTGTCAAACAATTGTTTACGCTAGTGTCTGTTCAAATACTATCAATCTGATGTCACGACCCAGTGAAGATAGTAGCTCGCCAATCTCCACCAGTGTTCTTCAACTTATTTACAACCGCGGCCCATCAAAATAGGGGAAACTGTTTCACCACCCGCCTGAAAGCTAACCAAACACAGAAACAAAACTAAATGTTAATCCTACAGACTGCAATCCTGGAAGATAAAAGCTACATACACTACGCCTGTTACATAAAAAGGCAGAATATTTGTTGAGGTAGACAGTTCCCTTACATGTCGCTTTACGACCCGAGCAATTTCCATAAATTTCCTCAATTGTGTTGGTAACTACTTTTATGATGCTCTCAAAAGGAGGATGAGGAGAAGAAGAGAGAAGAAGAAAAGAAGAAGAAAAGAAGAAGAAGAAGAAAGAAGAAGAAGAAGAAGAAGAAGAAAAAAGAAGAAGAAGAAGAAGAAGAAGAGAAAAAGAAGAAGAAGAAGAAGAAGAAGTAAGAAGAAGAAGAAGAAGAAGAAAAGAAGAAAATAGAAAAAGAAGAAGAAGAAGAAAGAAGAAAGAAGAAGAAGAAGAAGAAGAAGAAGAAGAAGAAGAAGAAGAACAACAACAACAACAACAACAACAACAACAACAACAACAGCAACAACAAAAACAACAAAACGAACAACAACAACAAACAACAACCACACGAAAGTACCGAGAAGCAGCATTATCGACAACAACCACCATTCAAAAACAAATGCAACACCAAAGCAACACAACGCTATACTGGCACAGATTTCACTCATCAACCGCACCTACCAACCAACACACCCATATGGGTGAAATCAGGTGTACACTGCATTCCGGGCATCTCAGTGTTTAGATCACAGAAAGATTACGAAAACAATACATTAAGTGCGAAGTGTATGAATGAACAAGCAGCAGTTGTAGGAAAAGAAAGAAGACAACAGAATTACAGAAAACAAAATCAGACGAGAAAAAAAAAAAACCTGTAGTTGACGGTGGAGAGATAATATTTACGGCCAGATTTACATACACTAGTAGTCAAAGACTATAAAGAGAAGACCACTTTCAGAGCTGAACTGAGGCAGGTAATACCTGTAACAATAATCTTTAAGAGCTGGCAACGCTACAGAAGGATCAGGAAATGTGGATTTGACAAAAGTAAGGGCGTGGCGCAATCTTCTATAGTGGCGCTGGAAGTACAACTTTGTCTGTAGCAAATCCCGAGTGGAAATAACAGTGTTGTTCAAATACATCACAGGGATTTTCAACCTACTGAGATCATGAGTTATTTATTGGATGAGAAGTGGCGTGTGTGGTAGATCGGAAACCGTAGTCTTGTTGCATTCAATATTAAACCTTAATTTGTCGCCAGATGGACGTTTAGAAAAGCGTTTTAATTGAGAATTTGAAGAAAATAATTTTAAAATTGTGGCATCAAGAAAAAACGTTTAATAATAAATTATCCCTTCCCTGTGTGGATTCACGTAGTCCATGGGAAACTCTCTTCCAGTGGGGAGGGAGGGGTGGGGGCACATTCACTACACTTAACAAGCATGTCGTAAAATCCTCTAATTTGGTTACAGCTGGTGAAAACTAAAAACATGTTTTCTAGGGGAAAATATGAATATACGCTGTGTAAATAAAAAATAATGAGAAAGGAGAGAACTTAAAGTCGCCATAGAAAGAAAAAAAAAACTAGATAAGAAAGGAACAGGAATCACAATTAGAAGTTAAAGAGGAAAGGCAAGAAATAATAGATACAGAAAAAAAAAAGGAGAATCCATTGCACTTAATAGTAGTAGCAGTAGCAGCAATAGTAGCATTTGCAACAGTATTAACTTAAGTAGCAGCAGTTGTAGTTGGTGCACTACTACTACTAGTTGGAGCTTCCGTAGTGTAGCGGCTAGATCCTCGACTGCGGATAGAAGGTCGAGGGTTCGTGTCCTGACGGAGCAGCGCTTTTTCTTTTAAATGACCTTGGCTCCCACGAGGAGCCCGCCTCAGGTGGGTACTAGAGGTAGTCCTGGGAAGTAAAGGCGGCCGGCGTGATGTTGACCACATCGAGGGCCAATTGGTCTATCAAATATTATTCCAGCCTTATATGCCCATACGTCTGAAGGTGTGGAAAAGAGACCTTTTTTTTCCCTTACTACAACTGATACCAACCCTACCACAGTTGTTACTATTACCTATACTTCTACTATTGCTGATTCGTAATTCCGGGGTGCCGGATTCGATACCAGCTGCAGGCCTTGTGCCTTGCATTGGTTTCGACAGTGGTATCGTAAAAACCGACCGTCCAGAAAGCAATGGCAAACTACTGGGCTTAAATTTGCCTAGAGAAACCACAACAGCCAAAAATTGCTGGGGTTGGTTCTGCATTGTCCTGGAAAGTATACTATTGCTAATACCACCACTACTACTGCTACTGCTGCTGCTGCTGCTGCTGCTACTACTACTACTACTACTTATTCAACAACTACTACTATTTCTAATAGTAATTATCCTATCACGACTAATGCAACCACACAGCTGCCAATGCCACACTTACTACTACTTAACTTTTCACAAATCTTACTTTTAAACTTACCAAAACTACTACTGCTAAACAAATCGCCCTTTCTACTACCGCGAAGCTTATTGCTACTTCTACTCACACGATTACTACTGCTATTATTTCTGCTAGTTTCATTAGTTAACTTTACAGCACCATCTACTTTTAACATCAGAAATGTTTGTCATTTAAATGACATTCATGGTTTATGTCACTTGATGTTATTTGTGTCGTTGTTACTTGTGAGATTTAGTTTATCTGTGTTGTTGATGTTATGTGTACGATTAATGTTTCTTTTTTTTTAAATCTTATTTATGCCATGTGTGATATTATGACATTGATGTTATTTTGTCCGCATATGTCAAGTTTAATATTATATCATGTATTTTATTTATAAACTCTGTCCAACTTCACACTTTTCTCATTTTTGAACTGTGAGACATTCCCATTCCTTTTTTTTTTTTTTACACACAGCTTGTATGTTTGTTGCAAATAAAATTATTTTGTTTTCTTTCTTCTTTCATTTACAG